TGCAAGTTGAATTCCCTTGATTAGTGCTTCGTATTCGGCTTCGTTGTTCGAGGCTTTAAATCCCATTCTAATAGCAAAGTCAAGTTGCTCGCCTTCGGGTGAGACGAGAACGATTCCGAGACCCGATCCTTTGGCCGCCGATGACCCAACGACATGAGCAACCCATTTCTTTTCTTCCCCCTTGGTACCTTCTTGGATGAAATCTGCTAGGGCCTGGGCCTTTATGGCTCGTCTTGGTTCGTACTTGATCGAATATTCACTCAGCTCGACTGCCCATTTGACGAGTCGACCCGATACCGTGGGCCGGCCCAGTGTCTCTCCTAGTTGGAAGTTTGTCCTGACTAACACCACATGGTTCAGGAAATATGGCCTCAGCTTTCTAGCCGTTATTACCAATGTCAGGGCAGCTTTCTCGATTTCAGAATATCTCGTCTCCGCACCCTGCAGAACTCGACTGGTGTAATAAATTGGCTTTTGGACACCTCCTTCTTCTCGTAATAACACAGAACTTAGTGATACTGCACCCACAGATATATAGAGCACCAACTCGTCGCCGGGTTCTGGTTTTGTCAGCAAGGGCAGCTCGCCCAAGAACTCTTTCAATTTTTCGAAAGCTGTCTGCGCTTCGTCACTCCACAAAAAAGTCGACTTCTTTTTCAATAACTTAAAGAATGGGAAGCTTTTTTCTGCGGCCCGAGCAATGAACCTGCTCAGTCCTGCAATCCGTCCCGTCAGAACTTGCACATCTCGAATGCTTCTTGGTGGGGCCATGTCGAGTATGGCCTTCACTTTTTCCCGGTTTACCTCGATTCCATGCTCCGTGACGACATATCCCAGGAATCGCCCTGCCTTTACTCCAAAGGCACACTTGTTGGGGTTCAGCTTCATCCCGAACGTCCTAAGAGTTTGAAATGTTTCCCTAAAATCGTCTGGGTGCGAGGATGAGATTTTACTTTTTACCAAGATGTCGTCCACATATACCTCGATATTTCGCCCGATCTGAGATTTGAACATTCGGTCCATCAGCCGTTGGTAAGTGGCTCCAGCATTCTTAAGCCCAAAAGGCATGACAACATAGCAATACGTCCCCTTACTGGTCACGAAGCTCACCTTACTTTGGTCCTCCGGGCATAACGGGATCTGATGGTATCCCTGAGATGCATCCATCATACTCAATAATTCGCAGCCAGCCGTAGAGTCGACTAGCTGATCAATTCGTGGTAAAGGATAATGATCCTTTGGGCAAGCCAGGTTCAAGTCCCGGAAATCGATGCACATGCGCCATTTGTTTAGTGCCTTCCTTACCATCACAGTGTTGGATATCCATTCGGGGAATTGGATTTCTTTGACATGTCCTGCCCGTAGCAACTTATCCACCTCAACTTCAATTGCTTTGTCGATCTCTTCCCCGTGACGTCTAAGCCGCTGTTTTACTGGTTTTCTGAGGGGGTCGACATTGAGTTTATGCTCCATAACCGCGGGGTCGATCCCTGTCAACTCTTCAGGGGTGAATGCAAAGACATCCCTGAACTCCTTTAATAGTGCAATCAGCTGGCTTCGTAGCTCGACTTCCAGATCTTTCCCGACCTTAGTGGTCTGTTCCTCTGTTTCTCCGATTTGTATTTCCATTAGCTCCCCATGGGGTTCGAGATCAGAATTCCTTGGCCTTTTCTCGCTCATCATCGGCTTTTTTCCTTCCTTCCCTTCTGCCCGCTGGTTTGTTCTTACTGCGATCTGATAGCAGGTTCTCGACAGCTTCTGGTTGCCTCGGGCCTCTCCTACCCTACTTCCAACGGGGAATTTCAGCTTCATATGGTAGGTTGACACTACCGCTTGGAATGCGTTGAGCGCTGGCCTTCCCAGAATCACATTATAAGCCGACTCGACGTCGACCACAACAAATCGTATCATCTTTACCTTCCTTAAGTCGCCTTCCCCAAGGACGACAGCGAGAGTAGTTTCCCCCAGGGGGGCGACTTCCGAGCCATTAAATCCAAAAAGTGAAGTGTGAAGAGGTGAGAGTTCAATGTCGAGTTCCATGCGTTTAAGGCAATCGAAAAAGATTACATTTACCGAGCTCCCTGTGTCGACGAAGATTCTCTGGACTTCGTAGCCCGATATCTGGGCTGTAATCATCAAGGCATCGTTATGAGGTCTCTCGACTGTTCCCATGTCGGCTGGTCCAAAATTCATCACCGGACTATCTTCCTCGACCTGCTGCACTTCGGTTTTTCCATGATGCCCTCTAGCATACGCTTTTCTAGCCCGGTTTGAATCGCCATCAGTTGGTCCCCCAAATATCATATGAATTACTCCTCTTTTTTGGGGAAGCTCTTCCTTATCGGGTGT